TATTCATGGACTGTCAGAAGAATGCACAAATCTGCCTTGGACAAAGTCAGCCAGAATGCTCCTTAGAAACGAGGATGATGAGACTTCGTCTCGTGTAGTTTGGACATGTTATCAGGAGGGACCAGTCCCTGGAGAAGGATATCATGCTTGGTAGAGCAGAGGGTCAGCGAAAAAGAGGAAGACCATCAACAAGATGGACTGACACAGTGGCTACAACAATGGGCTCAAACATAACAATGATTGTGAGGATGGTGCAGGACTGGGCAGTGTTTCGTTCTGTTGTATATAGGGTCGCTATGCGTTGGAACAGAGTCAACAGCACCTAACAACAAAAATTACCAGATATTGCATTTTTATTTGCGAAATCTGGCAACTCTACACTCAAGACATCTGTACTATTTTAATCCCTGAAATGTATGCAGAGGGTCATTAAGTAAAATATATTTCCCATCGTGAACTGGAGTTTAAAATGTTTGAAAGCTACCACTCTAGACCAGGTGTCAGCAAACTTTTTCTGTGAAGGGCCACAGAATAAATATTTTAGACTTTATGGGTGCATAGTCTGTGGCAACTACTCAGCTTTGCCTTTGTAGCACAGAAGCTGCCACAGATAAAATGCAAACAAACCAGTGTCTGTGTTCCCATAAAATGTTATTTATAAAAACAGATGTTAAACCATATTTTATGCCGGGCCATAAGTTGGTGACCCCTGCACCAGACTATCAGATCCTTTTGGGTCTTCATTTTGTTATTCAGCATATTCACTGTATTTCTTAGTTTCAGCATCTGGAAATTTGAAAAGTGTCCCCTCATCTATATAAGAACAAAAATACTGAACAGAACAGTGCTTGGGAATACAACTCCAAAACATAGCTCTGGAAGATTTCTACTAAGATTCCCAGTGATTAATTCCTCAGGTAATATTTCTACATTCTGCCTAAATGACATCACAAACAAACAAACAAAAAAACCATTGCCGTCAGTTCCAACTCATGGCGACCCCAGGTGTTACAGAGCAGAACCGCTCCATAAGGCTTTCTTGGCTGTAATCTTTACGGAAGCAGATAATAAGCATTTATTGGATGTTCACTTTATGTCGAACACAATGCAGGAGCATTTTCTACATTATATATTTAATTCTCACAACAACTCTTTGAGGTAAATATGATTAGTACCTCCGTTTTACAGTTTAGGAAACTGAGACCCTGACAGAGGTGCAATGCCTTCCTCAATATCTTACAGCACTAAGTAAAAAAAGCAAGATTCAAATAAAGGTCTACTTGATCCAAAGACTGTGTTCTTCATCACTCTACCACACGAATTCCATATAGCTTCAAATATTCTACCAAACAATATTTTATCTCGGGCATTTCCCTGACCTATTGCTCAAACAACTGTAGCAGAAAGAGGATGGGTTTGGTATTGCTTTACTGGTTCTTACTCCATCTATGCTGGATAAAGTAGGAAGGGTTCCTGAATACAAAACGTTAATGCTGCAAAGGATTTTACAGGTCTAGTTCAATCTGGGAAACCCTGGTGGTGTAGTGATTAAGAGCTACTGTGGCTAATCAAAAGGCTGGCAGTTCGAATCCACCAGGCGCTCCTTGGAAACCTTATGGGACAGTTCTACTCTATCCTATAGGGTTGCTATAAGTCGGAATCGACTAGACGGCAACAGGCTTGGTTTTTTTTTGGTTTAGTTCAATCTGTTCATTTTAGACATGTGAAAACCCAGAACTGGCATGTTCTTCATTAATGGTCTTTCCTATTTTATTTTTATTAAGAATTAGATGACATATTTCTAAAAGTCTTCACTTTTCCTCTTTAACTGAGATACTGGTTTCTCAAAGATTCCACATTGTGCAGTACACACCAGATTGTCGATTCAGAGGAATTGAGGAGAAATAACAAGTGAATTGATTGTTTATATATTACTGTTTTTGTCATTAGCTAGGTATTACATATGCTTTAGTCTTATTAATACATGATACACTTAAATATAAAAGGCACCACAAAAGTTATAACGTAAATGAGACTACATATGTATTTCCAAAAACACACATTCATTGACTAAACTTATAAATGATCAACAAATTAGTAGTCTATACCTGTTTTGGTACTTTTCTGTATTTTTTTTCTCAGTTTTATACCTTTCAGAGGCTGTTAAATCATAAGTGGGTGTCATTTTAAAGGCAACAGTTAATTTTGTAATCAAAAAAGATATATTTTAAAATTAGTGTACAAGGAAAAAAATCACAAATCACATATATTATTCTTTCACTTAAATAAATACACTAGGTTAATAAAAGGCTAATTTGACCATTCAATAGTTATTTAGCTGGTGATGTTGAAAGCATTGGCTATTTGATAACAAGTAGCCCTTAGACAGTCTCTAATAAAAGTAGAACCTTTTTTTAAAGATAAATTAATGCTAGTAAGTGTTCAGTGAAATGGGGGTAATGATACACTCTGGTAATAATGTAAAGTGTTCCATTTCTGGAAAATAATTTGGAAAAGTTAATTCCCTACTTAAAAGTAACTGACTTTAAGGTCTTAGGGTAACTACATTCTAGGAATTTTTCCTGAAGAAAAATCAGAAACAGGATAAATAGGTATGCATAACGATAAGGATAAAAACTAAAATGGGCTACCATAGAATTTTTTTAAAAAAAAAAAGAAAAAATTTTAAAGAATACCTATAGTCATTAAAACAGTTTTCAAAGGTCATTCAATGAGAAATCTTTAATGGGCAAATCATCAAAACACAATGCTAAGTGAAAAAAGGGTAGAATTTATAATTTTATGTTTAGTATGAACCCACATTTGTAAAAGTAAAAAAAAGTAAGACATTAAGAAAGAGCAGAGAGACATAACAGTTGTCATCCATTTTTTTCAATACTTGTGATGGCTCAAGCTCACATTTATGGTATTTTTACATGAATAACGTGTGCCTTCTACATTTGTTTGCCAACCACTAGTGGCGCTTATGAAAGTACCAGGGGTGGGGGGGAGGAGGGAGTGGTAGGCAAACAAACGTAAAAGCTGCGTGTTATTTGCATAAAAATATGGTGGTTACCAAAATGTAAAAGATTTGAAAACTTTGCTCCTCTAGGACAAGTTTTATCATCCCTGTGTATATTAAGGCACCGCTAACCATTCTAACATTTAAGGACATTAGGGCTGGATTGATCAATCCGCCTTGAAAAGGCTTCCCTGAGAGAGGCCAGACAGGAGTCCTAATATAGAATTATCAAACATAATTTAATGTAAAAAACAATAAGCAATATTTTGTGGGATGAGAGATTAGGTCCAAAAATATGAAAACATGTAGAATATATTATATTTAATTAACCATAAAACTAGGGAGGTATTATCACCAGCCCCAATACAACAAGTGTCACCAAATATTATTTATTGTCTGAGTTTACAAACACACAGTGTTACACTCAGCCTAGTGTCTAACTACTTCAACACAATGCCTTCAATGCCTATGTACCTGAATAACAGATAATAATCTTGAAATACATCAAAACATGATGAAAATAGTATGTACAAAAATTGCAATGAGATGTAAGATGAACTAAAATTGCAAAACACCTAGTCAATACAATGCCATTTATATTTGAATGCCAATTAAAATATTTCAGATCTTGTAATTTTAAATTACACATAAAGTGAAGTTTGTAATTGCTCTGAGACTCAGAGGCAACTGGAATTAAAACTTCATGATTTCAACACTACTCATAAAACAACAAAATGATTTCACAGTGAACTGAAATACAATTTTCCAATATTACAAAATGTTAAACCAGACTTGCTTTTCACATCGTTCATAAGATCCCTTAGGACATTTAGAAAATGTTAAGTCAAAAGTTTTACAGCTATTGATTGTCCTTCATCAATGACATTTGGTTTCTGATGGAAAAGGGCCAGTGAAACATAGCAAGGCTACCGAATGTACAATTTGCTGGATACTTAACACAAAATAACGTTGCTAAGTCAGTTGAGGCTTCTGATACTTAGATCTGAAACCAAGAAGTGTATTTTTACAAACTTTGTATATTAGTAGTGAATTGTAGCCAGCATTACTGTCCTTAAACACATCTGTTTTATTTCACCGTATTAGTTAATGGCTCTTATCAAGGATAGGATCTTACGTGTAACTCCACAATTTAAATTCTATTTATGATCAAATAAACAAACCAAAACAAAATTAAAATACCTTTGAGTACTTGAAAATCTATGGCATTCCCAGACAGATAACTGCAAATTGTGTTGAATTATGAGGTATCTTTGTTTTTCATTTTAGGAATCATTAGAACCAGTTAAAGTTGGAAAACAAACCTTTACAACTCCATGCTTGAAAGGGTAATTTTGAGAGTAGAAAGACCTTTGAAAGAAAGTGAAATGCTGCTTTTAATGCTTCTGACTCAGAGTAATTAAGTCTAAAAATAAGCCTAGTACATAAAGACCTGTTTTGAGGTGCAGTCTCAACTTCATTTTGTCCTGACTCAAAGACATTGGTGCCATTCATACTCTTATTAATTCAGATCTTAGTCTTTCTCAGATATGAACAACAGGTGACCAGTAGGCACTGTAACATTTTTTCCCCTAAGTAACCGTGCGGCTTAAGCTAAGAGCTCCAGGTGACGTTCTACAGAGGGGAAATAAATCACTCACCTGCAGAACTTAACCCAACAGTGTGACTGCAAAAAAGAATACCTTCTGAAAAAAAGGACCTCAATTTAAAATAATAGTTAAACTATTTTAAATACAGAATAAAGCTTAAAGAACTTGAGGTAATTTCTATGACATTCTGGAAAACAAACAAAAAAGCAGAGTAGAAATTATATAACATTTAAGTTTAAGTTTAAATAGCAAATTTCTAAAAAAATAATAGTAATAAATAAAAATGTATTTTCACATCTAGATGGCACTTCTATTTATATATATTCTATGTCATAGAGATATATTAAGCAGTGAGATAAATTATTTCATACCTGGACGGAGCTGTTGGATAAATAATTTTTATGTGTTGGAATGCTAAATCTTGAGTTAAAACCTGCTTGATCCACTTTCTCAATCCTTGTCCTGAGTCACCTGGTGAATCACAAATTCTGGAGTCAGAAAAATATTTTGACAATACAGTACGTTCAGAAGCAGAAGATAATTTTCATGTCACAACAGAGGCTGGAGCAAAGGATTAAAAAAAAATTTCATGTATAAAAATAACTGTACGCAAATCAATTTATCAACATAAATTAACTGACTGGACATTAATAGATAGCAATAATTTTGATTTTTTCTCCTGGCTTCATCATCGATCACTTTGAAGACCCTGTTTAAGCTTGGATCTTAAGTTTCCCCATTTGTTTAAAGGGTATAATAGGAATAATAAGTAAACTAAATTAAAATTAACAAATGGACTTTCTTCTAAACAAAAAAAAAGTCTATATATGATCTAAAACATTCTCATTTCTTATCTTACTCTTAAAAAAATACATTCCTAAAATGATTGTTAACTTCTGATGTTGAAGCAGCCTAAAACAATTTCTAAAACTATTTGCTTGGTTAAAACAATAACAATCTTCCAGAAGGGGTATTTGGTGCATTTTTATTTTTAACTTGAAGAAATTAGAATTTTATTTTGATAACATGTGTATATTACCTAAAACAATGACTATACACCCAAAGGCTGCAAGAAAACTAACCATTACTCACACAAGAATTAATGTTATGTATATTTGCACAAAGAATGGAAGGAAATCAAAGATCCATCTCACCCATGGAGGAAATTTTAAAGGTAACAACTTCAATTTTTTAATCAATGAATTCCCTAAGACATAAATTCAAAAAATATTTACTGAATATTATGTGTCAGGTACTGGGCTCATTCCTAAGAGGTAAAGATGGGGGTAGGGGGAGAGTCCCTACTCTTATGGAGTGTGTAGCTTATGGAGAGAAACAGACATTAATCAAACAGTCACATAAATAAACGTGATAGGCAAATGTAACCACTGCAAAGTTGAGATAGGTGGTGTTCAAAGGTTTTTTATAAGCAGAGTTGACTTCGTAAAGTAGTTGAGGGGAAACGTCACTAGAATATAAGCTCCACAAGGTAAGGTTCTTTAGGCCTGCTTTATTCAGAGTCACTTGTCCACCTAGGGCCTAAACGGGTCTGACACAGACGGGGCACTCAACAGATAGCTGTTGATGGATGAAGAAGAAAGGTTTGAGCTAAAATCTACAGGACGGTGAGGAGTGAAGGCAGAGCGCCTCAGGCAGAGGAAACAGCATGTACTTGACAGGAGGGTGCAGGAGGGCAACCTCTAAGAGGTGAAAAGCAGAGAATGAGAGAGGAGCAGTGAGTGAAGACCAGGTTGGGGACATCCTCAGAGGCCTGACAAATCCTAAGAACAAGGAGAAGCCATGGACACAGAAAGGTAGCTGATTCTAACGTGTCACTCCGGATGCTGTGCGAAGACAGTTAACTGAAGGGGACAAAAGTCCATGAGGGGGATCAGTCAGGAGGCTACTGTTGAGGTGACAGATGCTTCGACTAGACTGACAGCAGTGGAGTAGAGAAGACCGGGAATATTTAGAGATGAAACTGATAGAAATTGTCAGAAAATTAGTTATAAGGCGTCAGTAGTGAGAGAAAGGTTTCAGGGATGGCTGCTAGCATTTCAGCCAGAGCAACT